TAAGTAATAACAATATATATAATATATTTTTATTATTAAACTTTACTAACATATAAAAATTAATAAAAGAGAATATAACTACAATAGCAAAAAAAAAGGTTAAGAACTTAATTTTAATAAGTGAAAAGGATTTATCATGTATTAACAATTCTTTAACCTAAAAAACTAAAACTTTAAATAAGCTATATTAATAACTACTAAAATCTAACAAAGAAACAGCCTCAACTACAATAGGCATAAAAGAATGATTAACCCCGCAGATCTCAGAATATTGCTCATGAATAACTGAATTTAATAAAATGCTAAAAATAAATTGATTTAAACGTCCTGGAACTGCATCCATCTTAACACCTAAAGAAGGTAATGCCCAAGAATGTAAAACATCATTAGATGTAATTAAAGCACGAATAAATTCTTGAAATGGTAATAAAACTCGATTATCAACATCTAATAAACGAACTACTCTATCAGAATCAATATAAGAATCATACTCAAATTTCACATTCCTATCAATTTCATATCTCCAATACCAATGATGACCAATAACTTTTAAAGTACAAAGAAAATTAGTTCTATTCTCATCAATCAAATATAATAAATAAATAAATGGATAAACTAGTGAAATTAAAACCACAATTGGTAAAATAGTTCAAATCCTTTCAATTAAATGATTAGCAACAATATTAGAAGAATACTCCTTTCTAAAACGAGGATAAACTAATAAATAATCTACTACAACTAAAATTATAACTACAATTATGATTAAATAATCATGAAAATAAATAATTTGCTCTAAAGTCATATTGAAAGCATCTTGAAAATTTAAATTATCTTAAAATATCATCCATATAAACTTTCTAGTTTATACGCTATGTTACGACTTACTTTATAATAAAGCTGACGGGCGATATGTACTTTTAAAAAATAATTCAAATAGCTATATTTACTAATAAATTAATCTTTCTTTAAAGTTAGTAATATAAAAACTGCAGCTCATACACCCTGAAAAATAATTTATGTGTATCTGAATCATAGTAATTCAACTTTTACGCATCAAACATATAAAATTAAACATTTTCAGTTATAAAATTAGTGGAAAATCTAATTAAGATACAAGTTTCGGTATTTCTTTTAATCCGCCGATTACATAAATTTTTAATCACTCCTACTCATTTAATTAACAGGGTCTTTAATCCTGTTCATTTGATAATATATAATTAACAAAACTAAATTTCACCTAAAATTTAATAATAAACATAAACATATAAATTAATAATATTATTCGTATAACCGCGGATGCTGGCATGCTATTAACCAAAATAAAATAAAATAATTTATATTTCTTTTTATAATATAATAAAATAATTATACAATAAAAATTAACTATTAGGAGTATGAATCCCACAGTTTTTCAGAAGAAGTATACAGAGAGCGCTCAGAAATGATCTCGGATGTCGGGCGTACAAGAAACGAATTGAATCGTTAATCACTGACACTCAAAAGGCCAAAAGAAAACACCTTGCGAATGAATTTCCACAAAGGACAAACTTTGAAAGTCTTGGTTCCGGACGAGAAAGTGTTCGACTTGCACGGAATGCACAACGCTCAAAATAACAGAGTATGGGCAGTGGATCGTGCCCAAGCTGATAAGAAGGGTGGCGTGAAACAAAAACGCAAGTTTCCTCAAAAAGTAATGATGTGGTTGGGAGCATGTTCGAAAGGCGTTATACCGTTGGTTATCATGGATCAAGAAACCGTGAATCATGAACGATACATCAAAGATGTCTTGCCCGTAGCTCTGAAATACGGGAATAAAGTCTTTGGTGATGATTGGACCTTCTGCGCCACCCGTTAATATCGCTGTTTTTATGAGAGAAAACTATATAGCCGGGTCGTGTACTGACCGAAGAGATACGGAAGCATACATGAAATCGGAAACAGCAAATCTTTTTCGAGACTACTAATAAAAGAAAGAGTACTACTTTCTTTTAGTATGAACGCAGCAAATGAGGGACACTTTTTTCTTACCCTGCGGTTTCCTTATTCAAAAAGTTTCATTTCTATATGGTACTATTTCAAGTTTTTTATGAAAACTTTTATTCTTACAGAAAAATAAAGATATATCTTAAATAAAGGAGAAAAATCCATCGTGGAAAAAGGATTGCACTTCTAACAGTATCAGTGTAAAATAGTTTATTTATACAGTAATTATATTTTATTGTACACAATTAAAGAATTTTAGACTTATAAAAATCTTAGCTGTGCTACAAAATGATATTGATTAACAGGTTCCATACCAAACAAACTGAAATAAAATCTGTTTGTTCCAATAGGAATATACTGAGTGTATGTTCTATCTTTCAATGGAGTTGAAGCTTGCCTCGTATTTAAACCTTTTGGATTTTTGCTTGTTAATGATGTATAGGCTTGAGTACGTCCAACAGTGTTGTTGACTATTGAGAGCTTTGAGTTGACAATGAATATTTAGGGCTTTTCTTGTAAATTCTATAACTTTGCAAAGAAAGTCATGTAGATTTGGGAGAGGTCTCATTTTAATCAGAAATGTGCGGGCTACAAGCATGGCTTATTAAGAAAAGCTTTGGTTGTTTTTCATAGTTTCTGACAAACTGATTTTCCAGAAAACCGGGTCTTTGAAGCCCTAAGAGCAGCTCTCATATTCATATTCGGAATTAGTACCATCGATAACCCATAACCCATAACCCACTAGGTTTCGTTGAAAAAGCGAG